ATTTATTTTATTAATAGTTAAATAAATAACACTAAAATGCAATTTTAGAATTGAAATTAATCTTGATAAACAAAATAAAGTGCCTGATAAAAGGGTTAAATTGTAAATTTAATTATAAGTTTAATACTTCTTTATTAAAACTTAAACTAATGGGTTTAATTATAATTTTGAAAATTATTAGTTTGACTTAACTTAAAATTTTTAATAAAGCATAAATAGAATAATATAAGATATTAAAAATAGAAATCTTAATAATCCAAATCTACCAAAATTATTAGTATATCATTTTACGTATCTACTAAATATTAGTATAATATAAAAAAATATTTGTAAATAAAAATAAACAGATAGAACTGAAACTAAAATCATCAGTCTTACTAAAAACTTAAAACCAAGTAATCAGAAATAATTAATTACCAACCATTTAACTAGAAATCCAAGGAAAGGCGGAAATCCAGAAATTCTTAATCCATAAATAAAAATTATGATCTTTATACTTAAATTTATAGAATTAAACTTGAACTGATTAATATAAAAGATTCTGTACTTATTTAAAATAATTACTAATCAAAAAAGTATAATTACATAACTAATAAAATAAAAAAAAAATAAATTAAATCTAATTCTTATTCTATAAATAAATCAACAAACAGTAATTATAGAACTAAAGCCTATTGTTTTTTGAATAACTCTATTATTTAATCCCAGTAGACTACCAAAAAATGATGAACTAATTAAAACAAAGGAAAATCTTGAAGTAGAAAATAAATAGTATAATAAGATTAATGGGATTAATTTTATTAAAGTAGACAAGGTAAAGAATCTAATTCAATCAAGTTTTCCACAAATTAAAATAAATCAAAAATGAAGCGGAAACAACCCTATCTTAGCTATTAATCTCAGAATTAAAATAAATCTACATAAATAAAATAAATTAAATATATAAAATAAAATAAACACAAGCATGATAAGAGAAAAGATTGACTGAACTAAATAATATCTTATTATTACTTCACTGACTCTATATCCTTTACCTGACGTACATAAACCCACAAACAGTACAAGACATACTTCCATCAGATATCAAATTATTAATCAATTATTTATAGTCCAGCCCATGATCCTAAATCATCTAATCAAGTAAACTAGTATAATCTTTATATACTTCAATAGATAAGAGACTTGTTAATTATCTATGATTGAAATATGAATCCAATAGCTTTAGTTAGCTTACATATCTCTAGAAGTAACTTTAAAGCTACATTAACTATTATATCATAATAACCCTTTTATCAGGCATTCTAAACTCATGTACAGCACTTAAATATTACTAATTATTTTATTATATATATTATTCTATCTCTACTCTCCTATTGCTAATGATTAATATATATATTATTCTATCTCTACTCTCCTATTGCTAATGATTAATATATATATTATTCTATCTCTACTCTCCTATTGCTAATGATTAATATATATATTATTCTATCTCTACTCTCCTATTGCTAATGATTAATATATATATTATTCTATCTCTACTCTCCTATTACTAATACATACTAACATTAGTAAATATTTAAATCTAAATTATATATTTAATAATGTTCATTATTAATAATTATATAAATTATTTCTATACATTTTTATATATATTTACTGTATAATCACTGTCCTCCTTTTGTGGGGAGGGAGGACAGTGCTTATACTATATTAAAGTACCATCTCTAGGGGTTGCCCTATAATATAACAATATTATTAAATTACGCCTTTTTTTTAAAACAAAATAAGATATTAAATTTAGAGCTAACCAAAGTAAACCAAAATACAATGGTACTAAAATATTATAGGATATCTCTAAGATTAAAATAGTTAAACTGACACTATGTTTTAAATCTGGTGTATATCAAAAATACTCCTCTTATATATAAATATGACAAAGTTGAAATCTAAAAATTGAATTTTTAAATGATAATAGATAATCATTTTTTTCATTTAGTAAAATATAGTCCCTGACCTATTTTAATTGCTTTTAACCTTACCAACACCATTATAAGTTTAATTAAATTGATTTTAGTTAGCCCCTCACTTCTTTTTTTTTTTTTTTTTTTTTTTACTACTATTATAATTATGTTTCAATGATGACGAGATATTATCCGAGAATCTTTATATGAAGGATCACGATCTGTAAAGATTAATTATATAATTAGCTCTGGCATAATCTTTTTTATTGTTTCAGAGATCTGGTTATTTATCTCATTTTTCTGAATATATTTTTATTACAGATTAAGACCAGATATAACAACAGGTTCAATCTGACCTCCTTATCTGATTATTCAAATAAGATTTATAGATATCCCTCTACTAAATACTTTAATTTTACTAATGTCAGGATTTTTAATCACTTGAGCACATTATGATTTAACAATAAATAATTTTAAAAATTCAAAAACTAGTCTATTAATATCTATCTTATTAGGCACATATTTTTTAATAATCCAGGGGTATGAATATTTAAATTCAAATTTTAGATTCAATGACAGTGTATTTGGAAACTCTTTCTTCATTTTAACTGGATTTCACGGGTTACATGTAATAATTGGGTTAATCTTTCTGATTACAATATTAAATCAACTATCTATAAAAACCTTTAGACTAGTAAATTTATATGGATTTGAATATTCTATTTGATATTGACATTTCGTTGACATTGTTTGACTCTTTCTTTATTTATCAATTTACTGATGAGGAATATAATTTTATATCTGTGGCAAATAAAAGTAAAACTACAGCTTAATCTTATTAGTATATACAGTATTTTTGACTTCCAATTAAAAGGATTATAAATTAAATAAGATAAATGATTAAAGGAACAATATATGTGATAATTTCTTGCATAGTTGTATTTATAATTAATATTTTATACATATTAATTAACAAAAAAGCTATTAATAGACGAGAAAAATTTTCTACATTTGAGTGTGGTATAGACTTAATAGCATCTTTGCGACTTCCATTTTCCCTGCATTTTTATTTTATTTCAATTGTTTTTTTGATTTTTGATGTAGAATTGATATTGATTTTACCATTCGTGTTCTGTTTTAAGTTGTTCAATATGATAAGTATATTTTTAATAATTTACATACTTGTTTTATTTATTGTATTAGGGTTTTTTTATGAATGATGAGTGGGATTATTTGAATGAATAATATAAGATAAAACTAGGATAAGAGTTTAACAAAACATATAAGTTGCAATTATAAAAAAAACTACACTGTTTTTATCTTATAGTTGTACAGAAGTAAAATTTACAATTAATTTCGGCTTAATAATTAAGAACTTTCTAGTCTTCGTACAAAATTAGTTAAAACCAAAAAAGAGGTATATTATTGTTAATAATAGAAATGAAATTTTTTCTAACTAAAAGGAAAGATCATTATTTTAAATAATTTTATATATAAGATATGTAATAAGAAAATTAGTTTTATTGAACATATAAATAACTTTTCCTAATATTGATGATATAAATTTGATCAGTTTACTTGAAATAGATAAATAAATAATAACCACTCGTTAAAAATATATAAGTTTTTAATATAAATTTTATTTTAGTTTAAAAGTTAGTAACTATATTAGATGTATATGAAATTAAAATTTAAAAATATTATATTATAAAAATTTAACATCTAAAATTTTGAAACTAGTGTAATCTAATAAAAGAATTTATTTAAATACCAACTAATTAGGTGCCAGCAGTTGCGGTTAAACCTAAAGTCAACTAACTTACACGTCTAAATAAATTATATAAGTTAAAGAAGATATTTAAAGATAAATTTTAAGTAAGTGAAATTTTTAAAATTTCAAAAGCTCTTAATAATAAAGATTTAGATTTCTGTAAAAAACTAGGATTAGATACCCTACTATTTAGAAAAGATGATAATTAAGGTAGTAAAAGATAGTCTTCAAACTTAAAAAATTTGGCGGTAGCTTAACCTAACTAGAGGAATCTGCCCTATAATTGACAATCCACAATCTGTTAAATTTTAAATATATATATTTATATATCGCTGTTAAATATAAATTAAAAAGTAGTTATTTAAAATTTGTTTAAACTCAGAAAATCAAGTCAACACATAATTATTAGAAAATGAAGTGGATTACATTTAAATTAATTTAATGATAAACTAGATAATAAAAGCTTGAAAGGGATTTAGAAGTAAATTTAACCAGGTTGTTTATTTGAATTTGTTATAGGCTATGTACAAATCGCCCGTCATTCTTATATAAATTAAGACAAGTCGTAACAAAGTAAAATTACTGGAAAGTAATATTAGATTAATTTAACTTGAGTTTAAAACAGTAACCTTTGAAGTTAAATAGATTAATTAATTTTAGTAAGTTCATAGATTAAAGATTTAGTTAAAATAACACAATAATATTAATTTGTCAGATTAAAATTAGATTATAAATCTAGTCTTTATAATAAAGACAAATAACTAAGTAAAAGTATATCAATTACACTGATAGAATGATTAGATTATCTTTGTCTTTAATATTAAAAATTTGAAAAAATGTTTATTAATTAAACTAAAATTAAGAATTAACTAAGGTTTAAATTTTTAAAAAATTTAACTAAATAAAGACTAGAAGAAATATATAATTAAAATATAAGTGGAGATGATAATCTCATACCTTTTGTATCAGGGTTAATTAAAAATTAAGAAGAATCTAATATCTCGAAATTTACTAATATATAAAAATTTAATATTACTACCATTTAAAAGGTTTGATAAATAAATTTTTAGATTTCAGATGAAACCAAGTTTTAAATATCTAGTTATTAAATAAATTAGTTTAATTAAATATTGTTTTATCTGAATAAATATCTAAATTAAAAGTTTAAACAATTAAAGGCTTTAAAAGTTAAGTATTAAAGTAAGATAAATTAAAATACTACATATTATCTAAATAAAATTGATAATCTTTAATATAAAAACATATAAAAATTTAGAAACATAACTTTAAATTTTAAACAAAATTATTATAATATTTAATTGAAACCAAACATAATCAAGTAGAATAAAATGATTAAATTAATATACAATTCAAATTTAGATTAATAATTAGGCAATTAACCAGTTTCCATCTGTTTATCAAAAACATAGTTTAAAGAAAAAGATTTTAGATAGATTCTGCTCAGTGATTAAATTTTAAATAGCTGCAGTAAATTAACTGTACTAAGGTAGCGTAATAAATTGCTTTATAATTGAAAGCTTGAATGAAAGAAATAATGTGAAATAAACTTTTTAAAATAAAATAGTATAAATTAATATTTAAGTGAAAAATCTTAAATTAAATCAAAAGACAAGAAGACCCTTTAGAACTTAACAAATAAGTCTAGCTTTACTTGATCTATTTGCTAAATTGGGGAGATTTTTAAATAAATAAATCTTTAAATATAAGTAAAATGATATTAATCAAGTTAAATTATCCAAATATGAAATAAAACAAGTTACCTAAGGGATAACAGCGCAAAATTTTTGAAAAGTTCTCATTTACAAAATATATTGCGACCTCGATGTTGGATTAAGAATAATCTATAAAGAAAAATTTATAGGAATTGGTCTGTTCGCCCAATTAACTCTTACATGATCTGAGTTCAGACCGGCGTAAGCCAGGTCAGTTTATATCTTTGATAATTTAATTCTAAGCTACAGTACGAAAGGATCTAGAAAAGTAAAATTTTTATATAAGAAACTATATTAACATATACAATGTATTAAGTTTAGAACTTAACCAAGTAGATTTCTTAACACTACATTTAGTAATGTTTTTGGCTACACTTAATTTTTTATTTTTAATAATTATAGTAATAATTTCAGTTGCTTTTTTTACTTTAATGGAACGGAAAATAATTGGTTATTCACAATTACGTAAAGGTCCAAATAAAATTTTGATAATGGGAATTATCCAACCTATTGCAGATGCAATAAAATTAATTACTAAAGAATTTAATATAAATTACTCATCAAATTTTACTTTATATCTAATAGCCCCAGCACTTAATATTATTTGTTCTTTATTAACATGAATTATTTTTCCATTTAAATACTCATTTAGCTTTATAAAAATAGCTGTGTTGATAATATTAAGATGCGCAGCATTTAATGTAGTAACAATTATAATAATAAGATGATCATCGAATTCGAACTATGCTTTTATCGGAATAATTCGAACCATTTCTCAACTAATTTCATATGAAATTAACTTAATTATAATTTTAATTACTGTAATTATTATTACAGAACAAATAAACTTTATTAACATAAGAAAAGTTCAAAAATATATTCAAATTACAATACTTTTATTTCCTTTAGTGTTAATTTGACTAATTACAATTCTGGCCGAAACTAACCGAACACCATTTGATTTTTCAGAAGGAGAATCAGAGTTAATTTCAGGATTTAATATTGAATACAGAAGAACTAGATTTATAATATTGTTTCTTTCAGAATATTGCAGTATTTTAATTATAAGATTATTAACTACTTGTATATTTACAAATCTAACACCCGTTAATCCAAGATTTTATGTAGTTTATTTAGTTATTTCTTTTGTATTTATCTGAACCCGAACGACATTACCACGTTTCCGTTATGATAAACTTATAAAGTTTAACTGAATTCAAATTTTACCCATAACAGCAATAATGTTATCTATTTCGTTCCCCATAAAAATTTTGTAGACTAAAAAATTTAAAACAAGATCAAAGACTCACCAGTCTAGCTAATGCTTTCAAAACATTAAAACTATTGATCTTTAATCAAGTAATAAATCTCAAAAACTTACTATATAAATATAAATATAAAAAAAAAAAAAAAAAAAGAGAGACAATGCCTGACCTAGAAAATAAAAAGGATATTCAACTTGATTAGCACCAATCCACATAAGTAGAATGACTGAAACCACAAAAAGATAGTAAACAAGATCAATAATTGGATAGTAAGTTAATCTATTGAATTTTCTTTTACAGATCATAAACACTGAAAGTATAAGAATTGATATAAATAAAGCCACAACCCCACCCAGCTTGTTGGGGATAGACCGCAGAATCGCATAAGAAAATAAATAATATCACTCAGGTTGAATGTGGAGAGGGGTAACAAGTGAGTTAGCTATAATAAAATTTTCTGAATCAACTAAAATTAAGGGAAAAAAACAAATCAAAAATAGGTATAGAATTAAAAAAAAAAAAAATCCAAGACAATCCTTAACTACAAAGTAAGGATAAAACCAGATTTTATCATAAGATCCGACTACGCCTAGAGGATTATTAGATCCATGGGTGTGAAGAAAAATCAAATGTATTAAAATTAAAAATATAATTAAAAATGGAAAAACAAAATGAAATGAAAAAAACCGATTAAGGGTGGAATTTCTAACAGAAAACCCACCCCAGATTCAATAGACAATAGTTTCCCCCAATCTAGGAATAGATGAAATTAAGTTAGTGATAACTGTAGCTCCCCAAAAAGATATCTGACCCCAAGGTAAAATGTACCCTATAAAAGCAACCATTATTAAAAATAATAAAATAAAAATTCCTCTTAATCAAACTATTGACTTCTTAAAAGAAAAGTAAAAAATTCCACGTCCAATATGAATATACACAAAAATAAAAAAAAAAGAAGCTCCATTGATGTGACTATAACGAATAAATCACCCACTATTAACATCCCGTATAATATGGATTACTCTATCAAAAGCAACCCTTACATTAGCTGCATAATGAAAGGTTAAAAATAATCCTGTCACAAACTGAATTAACATAGAAAGACCCAACAAAGACCCAAAATTTCAAAAGTAAGAGATATTAGAAGGTGAACCAAGATCTACAACAAAATTATTAATTTGACTTAATTTAGACTTACGAAAAAGCTTATAGTTATACATTTAAATTTTTATTCGTAAAGGCCCCCTACATTTTTTAACAATATCATAAATAATTACTAAAAAAAGTAAAAGATAAAAGATAATAAAAAATGAAAATACACTAAAGGGGAATGCCATAAATTTAAAAAGAAAGTAAAATTCATAATAATTAATTTTAAAAGTTGAAGAAAAAATAGAAAAGTAAATAAAATCAGGTTTAACAATTTGCCTAAATAAACTAGCCAAAATTAAAATCCAAAGAAAGCTTACATAAAATTTATATACTCTACTAACTTTTTCGATAACAATTACACCACACATATAACCTAAAAGAACTACAATACCTCTTATAAACAGTATAAATAACATAAATCTATAATAATAGCAATTTATAATAAATACAAGAAAAATTCTAGAGAAACCGAGACAAACCATGAAAAACAAAATTAAAATTAATGGATCAAACATTATAAATAAAATCAAAAAAGTCAGTGCTTTCAATCAGTAAATAATTTAAAAATAAAATACTAATCTTGGAAATTAGAAATAATTATATTTTTACTGATACTTTAAATCTAGCCAGATCTCATTGAATTACAAAATCAATATTTTTGATAAACTATTAAAATTATGATAATAGAAGAAATAATTACACCTATTATATTAATAGTAATAGTTTACCTAATTTCCAAGATACACATTATTAATAGATTAATTATTATTGAATATATTTCTATCATAGTAATCATTCTGATAATAATTTTTGTTAAAAGGATAACTTTAGAGAATCACAATGTTTTATACTTTATAATTCTATTAATTACAGAAAGAGTACTTGGACTATCTATTTTGGTTAGAATAATTCGAACTCATGGAAACGATTTTTTAAAATCTTCAACAGTGTTAAAATTATAAAATTTTTTATAGTTATTATGATAATGATTATGGTACCAAAAACAAAGCAATTAATTATCAACTACTCACTTGTTATACTAATATTCAATTTAAATATACAAAAACAGGAAGTAAGTAAAATCAGTTATTTTATATGAGGAGATGAACTATCATTTTGAACTTTTAATTTATCGCTCTGAATTGGTTTTGTTTTAATTTTTAGTAAAATTAACCAACCCAAAATTTACAATAAATCAGTATTTATAATGTTAATTCTATTGATAATAACCTTTTACAGATGAAATTTAATGATATTCTACTTAATATTTGAAATATCTATAATTGTTGTACTCATGATTATTATAACATGAGGTTACCAGCCAGAACGAGTTGAAGCTGCTTTATTCATAGTTATAATAACAGTTATAACTTCACTACCTTTTATCACTACTATGATAAATAATAGAACCAACTTAAGATTATGAAATATCCAATATATAGAGATGAATAAATGAGAATATCTAAGATTAATACTGGTTTTTATAATAAAAATACCCACAATGTTTTTACATATATGACTACCCAAAGTTCACGTAGAATCACCAGTTCAGGGATCAATAATTTTAGCATCGATCCTTCTTAAACTAGGATCATATGGATTGATCCGAATAACCTCTACCAATTCAGAAATAAACAACAAATTAGAATGAATTATTTTATCATTTAGTCTATGAACAGCTCTTTATTTAAGAATAATTTGCTTTATACAAACCGACTTGAAAACAATAATTGCTTACTCATCAGTGGTTCACATAACATTAGTGTTTGCAACAATTACATTAGACAAGTCGAAAAGTATATTAGGAGGTATATATATTATAATTGGACATGGGACATGTTCAGCAGGATTATTTTATATAGCAAATATTATATATAAAAATTCTAAGTCTCGAAGAATCATTATTAATAAGAGGATATTTTCAATAAATCCATCAGCAATAATGATATGATTTTTTATGTGTATAAGAAATTCCCCAATACCCCCCTCGATCAATTTTATAGGTGAACTTTTCTCACTTAAATCAATTATAAACTGATCTGGAACAAGATCAACAGTTGTTGTCACTATAACAACGATCATGTTTTCAAGATCATTATATAGGATTTTTATATTTTATATTATTACCCATGGGATATTAAAAAAATCAACTAACACAGTTAAAATTTTCAATTCAAAAAATATAAATACTACTTCTATATTGATTATTCCCATAATCATAATTTCAATTAACCCAGACTTATTAATTATCTAAATCTAAGTAGTTTATAAAAACATTAATATGTGAAATTAAAGATAACTTTAATTATAGGTTTTTAGATTATCAAAAACTATACTTTATTTATAATTTTAGCTTCCATTATATTAGTTCCCGTCAATATAATGATTTTTAGAAAAAGCTTAACCATTATAATTGAGTGAAAAATAATATCAATAAAAAGAAGAGAAGTAAGCATATTCTTTTTACTAGATGAAAGATCCTCAGCATTTGTTCTCACAGTAATAATAGTAACAACTAGAATTTTAATATATTCAAGGTTTTATATTGAAAAAAAAAAAAAAATATTTGCAAAAATCTTAGTTACATTTATAATTTCTATGTTAATAATAATTCTAAGACCAAATATGATATCATTAGTTATAAGATGAGAAGGACTGGGAATAACCTCTTTTGTCTTAATTATATACTACCAAAATAAGAAATCAGTGATAAGAAGTTTTTATACTATGATAATAAATCGAGTTGGAGATATTACTTTATTGTTAACAATAATAATCCTAATAGATTCAGCTTCATGAATATTTTTATCAACAGAATACTTAAATCATAGAATAGTATGAATCAGATTTCTATCAATCAGTACATTTTCTAAAAGAGCTCAAATGCCATTTTCATCCTGATTGACAGAAGCCATAGCAGCCCCCACCCCAGTTTCAGCCCTTGTTCATTCTTCAACACTAGTTACAGCAGGGGTATACCTAACAATTCGATTTAAATCATCCATACTTAGGACAGGGATAAATCCCATTATTTTAACAGTAGCCATAATAACATTAATAATAGCTAGCCTAAATTCGTTAATAGAAATAGATATAAAAAAGCTTGTAGCCCTATCTACTCTAAGTCAAATCAGAATTATATTTATTTCTATTTCAGCAAACCTATATTCATTGGCTTTTTTTCATATAATTGTACATGCAACTTTTAAAGCTCTAATTTTTCTATGTAGAAGTACTTTTATTTATGTAAGTAATACACAAGATCTACGAAAACTATCTTCAACTAGATCATATATAATGGTAACAAATATTTCTTTCAATGTAGCAAGGATAATTTTATGTGCTCTCCCCTTTGTATCTAGATTTTACTCAAAAGAAATCATTATGGAGATGATGATAATTAGATCAATTAATAGACCTCTAACTTTAATTTTTATTACATTAATAATAGTAACTTCAAGTTACTCGTTAAAAATGATGATAATTATTAATTTGAACAAAATATCTTTAAATATAAAGATAAAGAAAGAAACATATAACCAAAAAATAAGAAAAGTTTTACTTCTAATCCCATCTATACTTTTAGGCAATAAATTATCATGGTTAATAGAATTAAATATAAACATTGTGTACTTATCTATTACAGAAAAATTAATTGCCCCAGTCATAATTTTAACCATAATAAAAATAATAAAAGTTGATAAAAGATTTAAAATTAATAAACCCAACACAAGCGTAAAACAAATAATAAGATATATATGATTTATAAAAAATTTAAACTTAATAACCAAAATAAACTTTATAAATCAAGGAGTTGTTATACTAAAAACGAATGAAAAGGGAGCTATAACTAACCAAGTAAAAACCCTAATTAAATTTATTTATTTAGCAACAAAGTTAATATTTAAGATTGGTAAAATAAACTTAAAGGCTACAACTCTACTCATATTTATTTTAATAATCATTTTGATTTGTTTTAATAGCTTAAATTGTAGAGCGTAATACTGAAGCTATTAAGATAATTATAAAAATTTTAAAACAATTATTTAGTTTAATAAAAACACTATCTTTTCAGTATAGAAATAAAAAAAATTTAATAATTTTAACCATTAAACCTTCTGAAATATAGCTTCTAACTATATTATAGTAGATAATTTTACTAAGGTTTTGGACTAAATAAAATAAAATTTAGTGGCTTAAGACATAAATTAAATTTCACTAGAATAAAGGGTTAGTAGGACAGAAAATACAAAGGCTTGGATAAAACAGACAAAAAATTCAAAAAGAAATAGAACTATCTGAATTAAAAATATATAAAATCCACAATTTCCTAAAAGAATTATTAATAAATGGCCAGAAATCATGTTAGATATTAGTCGAATTCTTAGAGACCAAGGCCGAATCAGAGCTCTAATAGTCTCAATTACAACCATAAAAGAAATTAAGATTAATGGAGTACCCAGGGGGACTAAGTGAGAAAAAGACTTTCTATTAAAATTAAACCAACCCAAGAAGATAAAAGAGATTCAGAAAGGAAATCCAAATCTAATAGAAAACACAAAATGTGATGAACAAGAAAAAACGTAAGGAATTAATCCTAAGATATTAGTAAATAATAAAAACAAAAATAAGGAAATAAATAAAAATACCCTAATAATTATTTTGTTATAAAGATAAAAATTAACAAACTCCTTAGTTAAAAATCCTAAGAAAGAAGTGTATAAATAAACAACAGAAGGAATTAAACACCAAAAATCAGACATACTAAACAATAAAATCAAGAGAATAGGAAATCAGTTAAAACTTAGATTAAAAAAAAAAGTGTGTGGATCATAAATCTCGAAAAGGCTAAAAATCATAGAAATAAAAAAATTTTGAGTTAACCAAAATAACTGTAGTATTTATGTTAGTAGTAAATAAATCATTGATACCATAGTAAAAAAAAAAAAAAAAAAAAGAAGAAGAATTGTGTATTATTAAAACCCTTGGATTAAATCAGTAAAAAAGTCTAACTGAAATAGAAAATCATCTTAACCAAAACATAAGTATTAAATAAAATCAATATAACGGCCCCATCTGTGGAATAAAACTTAACTAAATTTCCATTAAAGATAGACGACATTACCATAATTGATTTAAAAGATCAACACTTACTTTAAGCTTTTTAATGATCTTGAATTTTCCAACCAAACAGAAAATCTTTGATTTAAGATAACTTCCACCACGATGGGTATAAATCTGTGATTAACTCCACAAATTTCTGAGCATTGACCAAAATAAATACCTAGCCGATTAGCTGTAAAATTTAACTGATTAAGCCGACCAGGAACAGAATCAACCTTTACCCCAAATGCAGGAACCGTCCAAGAATGAAGAACATCTACAGACGAAACTAACAGCCGCACTTTTAATCCAAGAGGAATAACAAAGCAGTTATCAACCTCTAATAGCCGTATTAAGTTAAAAACTATGTAAGAATCAAATTCAAAACTGTTAAAATCTCTATATTCATAACTTCAAAACCATTGATGGCCTAAAACTTTACATGTTAATATGGGATTTTTTACTTCATCTATTAGATATAAAATTCGGATAGAGGGAAACGCTAGGAAAACAAGAATAACCAAAGGTAAAATTGTCCAAAAAGACTCCATAATTTGGTTATCTAAATCATAGCATTTAATTAAAGATTCACAAGCTAAATAGCTCATTATGTATACTACAAACACTAAAATTAATAAAATAGTTAAAAACGAAAAATCGTAAAAAAATGTTATCTGTTCTATTGTAAAACTAGCACTATTTTGAAATCTAACTCCACCCCACATTCTTATTTCTAAAGAAGAATTATAAGCCTTTTTTATAAATCTTAAATTTACTGCACTTTCTGCCACATTAGAAAAAAAAAATTAAACACACCTCTTTAAAACTATGATTAAGAACTGGCTTATTGATTTTCCACTCTAAATGCCTGCTTACACCAAGTTTAAACCTAACCGGCCGTAAGAGAAGAAAAGACTCTAAAATAATAAATAAAAAATAAATAACAGAAATAACACTTAAGACCCTCCCCCCAGAGGAAATTTTATTTCATAGTAAATAACAATCAGGGTAGTCAGAATACCGACGAGGTATTCCACTTAAACCAAGAAAATGCTGTGGAAAAAATGTCAGGTTTACTCCCACAAATATTATATAAAATTGAGACACCAGGTTATAATTGTTTAAAGTTAGACCTAAAATTAAAGGAAATCAATAAATTACTCCGCCTATAATAGCAAAGATAATTCCTATAGATAAAACATAATGAAAATGAGCAACAACAAAATAAGTATCATGAAGACACACATCTACCGAAGAATTACCAAGAATAATTCCAGTTAATCCACCCATAGTAAATAAAAATAGAAATCCTGTAAATCAGAGAACTAGGGGTCTAAACTTATTAGACTTTATTCCACCTAGAGTAGCAAGCCACCTAAAGATTTTAATTCCCGTCGGAACAGCAATAACTATAGTAGCTGAAGTAAAATAAGCCCGAGTGTCAACATCTATTCCAACAGTAAACATGTGATGTCCCCAAACAATAAATCCCAAGATACCAATAGTTATCATGGCATAAATTATACCCAGGCTACCAAATACTTCTAATTTTCCAGCCTCACTTCTAATTAAATGAGAGATAATACCAAAACCTGGTAAAATAAGTACATAAACTTCTGGATGACCAAAAAATCAGAACAAGTGCTGATATAAGATAGGGTCCCCTCCCCCCAGAGGATCATAAAAAGATCTATTAAAATTTCGATCTATCAGTAATATCGTGATAGCTCCCGCAAGAACGGGAAGTGAAATTAATAATAGAAACACCGTAATTAATACTGACCAAACAAATAATCTCACATATTCAAAATTTATACCAAGAACTCGTATGTTAAAGATAGTAACAATAAAGTTTACTGAACCTAAAATAGATGAAATACCTGCAATATGTAAAGAAAAAATCAATAAATCAACTGATAATCCCCCGTGTGTTAATCTTAAAGACAAAGGAGGGTACACAGTCCAACCAGTACCAGCCCCCACCCTAACAAGCATTCTAACTAACATAAAAATTAATGAAGGAACAAGTAGTCAGAAACTTAAGTTGTTTATACGAGGAAAAGCTATATCAGGAGCACCAATTATTAAAGGAACTAGTCAATTACCAAAGCCACCAATAACTAAAGGTATAGTTATAAAAAAAATTATAATGAAAGCATGAGAAGTAACAACAACATTATATAAATGATCATTTAATAAAAAAGATCCACCAGTCATAAGTTCAGAACGGATAACTATACTAAAAGAAGTTCCAATTAATCCTCTCCAAACGCCAAAAATAAAATATAAAACACCAATATCTTTATGATTTGTTGAAAAAGTTCAAACTTTCAT